TTTGTGCTTTCTTAAATTATACGATATTATCAATCTCGAAATTTGCTTAGGTTTTGAAATGATTAAAATATCATAGTGCTATGCTATAGTTACATCACTTGAAATGAACTTACCGTAATTTGAATAATGTTCAATTGAAGGAAGATGAGAGTGACGAAATATTTGGAATGCATATTGAATTCTGAAAACATTCTTTTTTTCACTGATAACAAATAGCAGTCAGTGCCTCAGTTTGACAACTGCGCAAAGAATAATTAGTTTGCGAAATTTGACTTCTATATGAAAATATCATACTAAAACGACAAGCTTAATTACAAATTATAGCGAGTGACCATCTGCAAACAATCAAATTTAAAATTTTTGCAAATCACATAACCCGAAAGTTTGATGGAATGGTTAATTTCATAAGGAAAATGGCCTAATATAATGTTTACCGTAAAATACTAAATAAAATCTAATAAACAATTAACATTTGATAAAATGGAAATTAGTGAATGAAATTTGTGGAAGGGAGTTTGACAGGGACTACTCAGTGACTTCTGTTAGTTATTGTTAAATGACTGCCTTTATATCATCGAAATGAGAGTGACAATATGCATGTATTAATATTATACGTCAACGTGTAGCAATGTAGTGGCAATGATCGTTTAATCCTCAATTTGAATAGTTTCAACGGTATTATATTGCATTGTCAAAAATTATTAATTTATGCAAGCTAATCGCAGAATATTCTGCACAGTTTTATTTCGTTTTTGCTTAAATTCTTCCAAATCGTTTAAATTGAGGCAATGTATATAAATATATTTAACAAATTTTTCAGATTCACAGGGATCGAAGTAAAATGAAATGAAACTATGCGAAGAACTCTGCGACTGCCTTGCATGAATTATTCTTGACAGTGCAATACAATACTGAAAACGAAATTATTCAAATAAAGGATTGTCATTGCATTGTTAAAGTGTTGTAGTAACTACAGCACACAATTGAGCAGCATTCAGAACCCACGGACTCATCGAGAGAAAAAATGGATGAGAAAGCGACCGAACCAACAGACTTATCGGCGTAGCCATATAGCTTGCTCTACGTAACGTGCTTGTACGAGCAACACTTTTAAACTTACTCATATGCAGCAATGCTGCCATTTTTGGCTTCAACAGATCTAGTGCTCCATTCTCTCTTGGCTTCAACAGATCTAGTGCTCCATTCTCTCTTGGCTTCAACAGATTCTCTTAAAACCTCAAAAATATTAAAGATCATATAGGTTTCTGATGAAAAATAAATAAAATGCAAATTAGTGAATGAAATTTGTGGAAGAGAGTTTAACGGGGCCTATTAGTATTGTATTGCAATCGCAGTGTTTTCTCGCATAGTTTTCATTTCATTTTGCTTCAATTCCTCTGAAATTGAGACTGAGTGTTAATAATATTGAAAAACTGCATGCTTTGCATGCTGTTTGGAAAATTGCATTGGTGTGCATGCTGTTTGTGTGTGTGTGTAAATTACAAATATAAAATTATTATCATTGTCTGTAAAGTGTGATGTGATGAAAGTAGCAGACAAGTAATCAGTCGATGACTTTCATTTCATATCGATCTTTCAAATTTCAAACATAATGAAATCAAAAAATTTGCAATGTAAAAAAAGAAAGAGAGAGTAACAGAATTCCATTAATTGTTTTATAATCTTTGGTTCCGTCTAACAACTAATGCAAAATCTTTTTTTCGTCAATTGAAATGTTTGGCCAGAATTTATTGGTTTGACAATTCCAAACCGCTACTTTTAATAATTTCAAAACCTAAGCAAATTTTGAGATTGATAATATCGTATAATTTAAGAAAGCACAAACGCAACAAATAGAACCATTGGACTTATCATTGCCAAAAGAGAATGCAGCATTCTTGGAGCCAAAAATGAGTGGAATACTTCATTCTCATTTTAATTCAATTGAGCAGCATTCAAACCTCTCGGACTCATCGACAGAAAAAAATATTGAGGAACGAGCTGAAGTAACAACCTTGCCGGCGCAAACAGAGGTGGGTGTGATAAGAGATATGAAAAATCATTCATCGACAGAAAAAATTAGTGGGGAGAGTTCAGGAAGGTATGAAATTCTTGAGACGGCTAAGAAGCTGTACGTCTGTAACGCATGTGACAAAGCCTTCACTCGGAAATGGGTTTTAACAGTACATAAAAGAACTCATAGCGGTGAGAAGCCGTACGTTTGCAACATGTGCGACAAAGCCTTCACTCGGAAATCGGATTTAACAGTACATAAAAGAACTCATACCAATGACAAGCCGTACGATTGTGACACGTGTGGCCGTGCTTTCGCTCAGAGATCGACTCTTATAACACATATAAGGACCCACACCGGTGAGAAGCCGTACGTTTGCAACATATGCAATAGAGCATTCTCTCAGAGAGGAAATATGAAAAGGCACATGAAAAAACATGGCAATTAAATGCTGTTTGTTTTAACATATGCCAGAAAATCTTAAATGAAATAACGACTTTAAAAAACCACGAATAGACTCTTAAGTTGCAATAAAATTTACTGTACAAAACGAATTTAGAAATATACAATAAGACTATTACTAATGAGAAGTCGTATATTTGTGGGTTATGCAAGAACAGTTTTGGAAGGATATATATGTTAAAAAGCACATGCTAATATATAAAATATAAGAAAAATCGAGCTATACTCTTGCTACTTTTGTACTTTTGATATTTGCAATATGAAATTATGCGAGGGAAATCATTAAAAGCTAAAGGCGTATTTATAAATTTAAATAAGCGTTTCTATTTTAGATTCTTTTGATTATTTGTGTTTTGTGTTGGTTAAATTTTTTTTCATTTAATTCAAATATTTGTTGTTCTTTGGATGATAACAGTTCTTTATTAGAAACAAATTCTGTCTGGTTTGTGTTCTACATTTACATCACATTTATATTTGGCCTCGCAAACATAATGCACACTTTTCTGATTCTTTCGCAGTAAATCTGAATCTGTTCAATCTAAGACCGCTGAAGTTCTGTAAATCATTTTACCCATCAGTTCCGCTTAAATGCTACTTT